GCAGCAAGACGGCCCAGACCCTCGCCAAGGAGACCTTTGCCTCCACCGCCGCCCAGCTCCACAGCAACGTCGTCAACTATGTCCAGCAGATCCTGGAGCCCAAGGGCAGCTAGGGCTCACACGCACAGCCTCTGTCTCTTTAGACTCCACACGGTTTCAGGGTCATTGCTCCCAGCTTCCAGTTCTCCAGTCAGCACCCAGACGTGTCTGTCCCCACAGGACTTGCTGCTTTCTGGGGTCCAGTATGTGAGATCCGGGGCCTCTGCTCTAGTGAGCACTTCTGTCCCACCAAGTCCCAAGACTGGAAGTCCTTCCTGCAGCTCCCCTCGTGGTGGTGTCGGGGACAGTTGGTCTTCCTCTTTCTACTTTTAGATCTCTGGAGAGATACAGAGATGGATCTTTCTTTTCTTCTTTAATAAATGTTTTTAAGCAAAAACTAGGTAAGTTGTAGTTACAGATTGAGTGACTGTTAAATTTTTCTGTCAGGGCTCCTGGATCTGTGTGAGGGTTCAGAGAAGAGGGAGGTAACTCAGTTGACAGTGTTCCATTGCCCTTTGGGAACTGGCAGATTGGACTTGTACTTGGTGGCACATGCTTGTAATCGCAGCACTCTGAGAGGCTGAGGTACCAGTATTGCAAGTTTGAGCGCAGTTTGGGCAACTCAGTGACTCGGTTGAGACTCTGTCTCAAAATTTTATTTTTTTGGTTTTGGAGACAAGATTTTGCTATATATTTCAGGCTGGCCTTGAACTCACTATGGACCCCAGGCTGGCCTAGAAGTCGCAGCAATTCTGCCTCAGCCTCCTGAGTGGTGGCATTTCAGGCGTGTACCCCCATGCTGAGCTCAGAATTTTAAAAGGGCTGGCTGTAACTCAGTGCAGAGACCCCAACATCTGTCCCCAGTACTGGGAGGAAAGGAACTGTCAGGCTGAAGGAGATGGGCACCGCACATGAAAGAGTACATGGCTGTGTCAGGGCACTTCAGGGAAAAGCTACGGATGACTAGCAGGCCGTCTTCCACATTGGCACATGAACACAGGGTTTCTTAAGGCCCTCTCGCCCACCGTGCCTTACTTCTTTTTCTGTGATACTGGGGATTGATCCCAGGGCTTTCATACTGACTGTATCCTGGCCTTCCCTCTTATTGAGACAAGGGTTTTGCTAAGTCACTCAATTGCACAGCTGGGTTAGAATTTGGGATCCTCCTTTTTTTTTTTTAATTGGTACCAGGGATTGAACTCACGACTGCCTGCTTGCAAGGCAGGCGCTTATGCCGCTGAGGTAAATCCCCAGCCCCAGGGATCCTCCTCCTTTCAGTGCCCACAGTACTGGTATTACAGATGTACACTATCATGCCCAGCTAATATACCTAATAGTGTGGTAATTGGTAGAGTCTGTTTAAAGCTTGGCTCTAACTTCTGATTTCCTGGCTCCAACATGAGGCTCATAAGCATTTAGCACCTTAGGGTTAAGAGTGACCTGGACTACAAAAGGACTTCAAGCTGGGCATGGTGGTGCACACCTGTAATCTCAACACTTGGAGGCTGAGGCAGGAGGATTATTGCAAATGCAAGACCAGCCTAAGTTTCAAAGTAAGGTCAAGGCCGGCCTGAACTGCTAGCAAGACCCTGCCTCAAAAAAGACCAAAAAAAAAAAAAAAAGAGCGGGGTTGGGGGTTGGCAGAAATACTGAAGCATATTTATATATATTGACTTTTTTTGAGACAAGGTTTCACTGTGCAGTTCAGGCTGCCCAGGAAGCCTGCTCGAACTCCCAGGAAGCCTGCCTCAGCATACTTGAATGCTGGGATTACAGGGCTGTACCACAATGCCCGGTTTAAATGGACTTTTTAAAATACAGGCCAGGGACCCGAGATCACTCTCCACTGTAGCTCTGGCCATGGCTCTGGGATGTGGGTCCTGCCTTCCCCGGACCTGTGTGGGGTTGGGAAGGATTGAAGTCCACTAGCTGTGAGCGTTTCCACACTGGCCTCACACCAACAGGGGAGAGAGTTACAGAGTGGAGAGCTGCCCAGAGCTGGGGCATTTTGAAAGCAAATTGCTTCCCAAACTCATTCAGGGTTGTTCTGCAACGTCACGGTGTCACAGCAAGGACTATTCAAGGACAGTGCTAGGGCTGTCCACGCCCTCACACCTCGGTGGCTGGCGCTGGCAGGCCGCGCAGACGCACCCGCTCTACCACGGCTGCCTGGCCCGCCGCGCCCAGCGCCTCTGCTCCTCCTGGGTGGCCTGTCCTCGCCCCTAGTGCTGGGCAGGGCCTGGGCTCTGCCATGCACCAGTCCCGAGGAGAAGGCTGCGCCACGCCAGCAGGGAGCCTAGGCGCCCTCGCCGCCTGGAGGCCGCTCCGTGCCCCTCGACCACCTCCCCTCCGCGGCTCCTGGCGGCGGGGGCGGGCCTGGAGGGTGAGGAAGCCCCAAGAAGGCAGCCGGACCGCGGTCCCGCTCCGTGCAGCCTCCGGGCCTCGGGCGGCCTGCTGTTCCGCGGGGCAGGGAGCACGTGAACAGCCCGGGGCGGAGCTGGTTACCCTGCATTCCAGGGCGAGTGACTGGGTGGAGGGTGTGCCTGCCTCGGGCTCCGGGAGGGCCCCTGCAGGGCTGGGGAAAAAGTGTGCCCTGGGCCATGGCCCTCCCGCCACGCCAGCCCTGCAGAGGGACTCTGCCTGTCGCTAACTCCTCTCCCAGGCACCCAGGGGCTCGTAGGAGCAAGAGGAGGCTTTCCAGTTAGAGAAGGCTCCCGAAGGTGAGGTCACCTTTTGAGTGACCTGTGAACCTACCAGGGGACTGTGATGTTAATGAAGGGCCGAGGGGATTGGGAGGGGAGAGACGGCAAATCTTCCCTCTCAGAATCATAAAAGGATTAGCTTGGGGCTGGGGGTGTAACCTAATGGTAGAGCACTTGGCGCCTCGGCCCGCCCTACCCTGGATCCTCAACATTGCAAACAAACCAGACACCAATACCAAGCAAAAATGAGCTAAAAGAGACTTGAGTAATCATTAAGTCCAAACTACCTTTTTTTCCCTTCCTGAACAAGGGGTTGAACTCAGGATCTTACACGTGAGAGAAATTATTCGCAACTGAACTATAGCTCCCATCTTAGTTTATTTTGTTTGTTCTGTCTTGGCTTTTTTGTTATGTGTTATTCTTTTTTTTTTTTTCCTCTTTTTTTTTTTTTTTTTTTTTTTTTTTTGAGAAAGGGTCTTACTGTGTACTTCAAACTGGCCTTGAACTCACTGTGTAGCCCATGCCGGCCTCAAAGTGACTGCCATCCTCCTGCCTCAGCCTCCTGAGCCCTAGAATTACAGGCATGTGCAGATATCTAGTTTTATTTTAATCCAGGGCTTTGCTAAATTGCCCAGGCTGATCTCAAACTGGGCATCCATGCCCAGCTACAACCTCTTTCTTTTCTGAAACAGGGTCTCTCTATGTAGTGCAGCCTGGCCTTGAACTCCCAGTGATCCTCCTGCCTCAGCCTCCTGAGTGCTAGGATTACAAGTGTGCTCCAGTAGGCCCAGCTTCATTCTTACAGGATGTACAGAATCCACACATCTTGTCCATAGACAAGATGACACATAGACACAGACACTGGATTTGAATCTATCCTGTTAATCTTGCTGGGGGGTGAGGTGTGTGCGTAAGACCCAGTGCCTGGGATTCTGGGATCAGTTCATAGAACCACAAACACAGTAGGCAGGGTTTACGATGCTTGTAAAACAGGCCAGCACTCAGTCAGAGGCACAGGTCTAAGGTACCTGCCACTCTTATCTAACTCAGGGTAGCCTGAATCAACCATTGAGCCCCTCTGAACTGCAGTGTCTCATCTATAACATGAGGATACCTGTACATTGCTTGCCAGATTTTTGTGCCTGTGATGGTGGTGGTGGTGGATTTTTATGTTAAAAGCATTTGGTCACCAGGCATGGTAGCACAGACCTGTAATCCCAGCACTTGGAGGCTAAGGCAGGAGGACTAACAAATTTGAGGCCGGCCTGTGCTACATAATCAAGTTCAGGGCCAGTGTGCATTACATAGTGAAACCCTGTCTCAAAACAAAACCAGAATGAAACAAAGCGCTTGGACCACGCTAAAATGTACAGTACCACAAATTACCTTCTTCCAATGCCGTGATCTACTGGATTCTGACCACTAGAGGGCAGCAGCGGTTGCTAGCAAACTGGGGGAATCTGTTGAACTGGGGACTGAATTCCAGCACCTCCAGCAGGTTCTAGGCAAGAAAGGCAATCTAAAAGAACTTTCAAGGGAGGCCGGATCTCTCCAGAAGTGGTTGCAGCAACCTGACACTTGGGTGGGATCCAGACACAGTGCTAGGTGGCAACAATGGGACGCCAGTGAGTAGGCCCTATGCCGGGCACCATGGCAGGGCACCATGGAGCACAGGGAGGAGGCTGGCAACATGGCCACACCCACTGGCCCATGAATGTTACTCAGCCCGTATCCCATCTCCTGGAGCTGTAGAGAAAATACTTCAACTTCAGTAACCTCCCTCCCACGAGGCCCTTTGTTCCTGGACCTCCAGCAGACTTTCTGACCCGGCCAGCCAGGGCTGCAGGTCTCCCCACCAACACACACGCGTGCGTGCGTGCACACACACACACACCTGCCCTGCACCATGCTTACCTTTCTTCCTCCCCACCCCAACTCCGGCCTGACCCCAACCAGAAATTTCCTGAGTCAGAGGGCAGCCAAAAGCACAGGTGCCCACCCCAGTGATGTTCCCGCCACCTGCCCATCCCGCTGCCCTGGGCCCAACCCCAGAGGGTGCAGGATGACAGAGTCTGACAATCATTAAACCAGCCAGGCCAGATTTCCCAGCACCGCCTGCTAGGACCTGGGCCAAGTGGCACCTAATATGCAAATCACCTGGGGCCAGGAGCCCAGTCTGAAGGCCAGGAAATCCCCTCCATCCAATGAGCCACTAGCTCAGGTTACCACCGGACGCGCCGCGAAGGCCTGGTGCTGGGAGGAGCTCCCGCAAGGCCCTATTTAGGGCGGGTGGGGGCGCGCGCCGGCCAGACTCCGCGCTGCTCCCTGGCGGAGCTTACTGCTTGCTACCTAGCTTTCTCCCTCACCTGTGACTTCTGAAGCCACCCTGTCTGCCCGCCACATCTGCACAGGTAGGACTCCTACCTGTCGCATTTCCTGCCCTGGCCTTGGGAAAGGGGTCTCGTGGATGTGCAGTTCTGAAGGCGCCCACTCTAGTCTGGAGTATCTCAGGGGGGGGCCGAGGAGCAGGAACAGAGAGATCTCTCTAGGCGGGACGACGTGGACATGGCTTGTCCGCTGTGGCTAAAGGTTCAGGTAATAGGAGGAGGAGCCAGCAAAAGGGTACAGTGGCCCCACTTTGCTCAAGACTAGCCCCCTCCTTTTTTGAGTCAGGGGCTGGCCTAATAGTTCAGTCTGGCCTTGAATTTATAGTCTTCCTGCCTCAGCCTCCCGAGGGCTGGGATTATAGGCATGTGCTACCAGCCCTGGTTTAAATCCCCCTCTTGAGGAGAAGGCACTATTCCTGTCCTTGAGGACAGAGCAGAGTAGCCAGGGGTATACGGGAAGGACCCCCAACACCCTCACCGACCTTGTCCCCTCTCCCTAGGTAGCCTCATGGCTGCAACCTGTGAGATTAGCAACGTTTTTAGCAACTACTTCAGTGCTATGTACAGCTCGGAGGACCCCAGCCTGGCCTCTGTTCCCCCTGTTTCCACCTTTGGGGCTGATGACTTGGTGCTGTCCTTGGGCAACCCCCAGACATCGATGGAGGGCACTGGTGGGTGAAGTGAACTGGTACCTTCTGGGAGAAGGGAGAATCTGTTGAATGGGCGGAGGAGGGGGGGGGTTGAAGCTGCTGGGCAAGAGACTAGGACCAGAGCTTTGAGTCGTCCTGCCCCTGCTCCCCTGCAAGTGCTGTGAGAGAGAGTTGAGTGCTCAGAGAAGATCTCAAAGGGACACTGGAAATAGGGCTGTAAGTCTGGTGTGGCTATGGCTGACTCTGTTGCTGTGCCCGGCCCACAGAGAAGGCCAGCTGGTTGGGAGAGCAACCGCAATTCTGGTCAAAGGCCCAGGTTCTGGACTGGATCAGCTACCAAGTGGAGAAGAACAAGTACGATGCCAGCTCCATTGACTTCTCTCGGTGTGACATGGACGGGGCCACCCTGTGCAGTTGTGCCCTTGAGGAGCTGCGGCTGGTCTTTGGGCCTCTAGGGGACCAGCTTCATGCCCAGCTGCGTGATCTCAGTGAGTCTGGGCTTTGGGGCAGTGGTGGCCAAGTCCAGGGATAGTTGAGGGGCCTGGGGGCTAGAGGAGAGGTTGGCCCTGGGCTGGACCCCCAAGCCAGGGCTGGAGGGCACAGCTGGAGGGAGCCCCCAGGGGCGGTGAGGGAATGACTCCTCCCTCCTTATCAGCCTTCAGCTCTTCTGACGAACTCAGCTGGATCATTGAGCTGCTGGAGAAGGACAGTGGGGTGGCCTTCCAGGAGGCTGGCTCCTTTGGTGAGAACCTGTTTTCTTCTTCCCTCCCCATCCTTTCCTGTCCCATCCCAGACCAATCCTGACACTGCCTTCTCAGACTTCTTCCTCCTCAACTGAGGTCCCAACAGCCTGTCCTTGGACACCTAAGTAGCTTCCCACCTAACTCTGCTGGTCTCCTGAGCCTTTGCCAAGCATGATCCTCTTTCCAGACCAGGGAAGTCCCTTCACCCAGGAGCTGCCAGAGGTGACGGAGGACGGCTGGCAGGCCAGCCCCTACTACCCCACCAGCTACGGCACTGGAACCCCCTCCCCGGACTGCTCCGAGGTCTCCACTGCAGGTAAGAGACCTGGCTGGGCACCGCACCCTGCCTGCAATGCTGCTGAGCACCAGGGTCCCAGTCTCAGCCATGGTGCTCACTCTACTGCCTGCCAACCCAATCCTAGGGACCGGCACACCTCAGAGCTCCCATTCCTCAGACTGTGGTGGAAGTGACGTGGACTGGGATTCCACTGACAGCAAGCTCTTCCCTAGAGGTGAGGCCCTGGCTGCTGATGGTTACCCTGTTTGGTGCCTCTTCCCTGCTCCCCCTAAAGCACTCCCTCACTCCTGCTTGACCTCTCCCCTCTCAGCAGATGGGTTTCCTGACTGTAAGAAGGGAGAACCAAAGCACGGGAAGCGGAAACGAGGCCGGCCCAGGAAGCTGAGCAAAGAGTACTGGGAGTGTCTAGAGGGCAAGAAGAACAAGCACGGTGAGCCCAGGGGTGAGCTGAGGGGTGCAGATGGGCACAGTGCACCCCTGCTCTAATCCCAAGCAGGCCCCTCTGGCCTCTCAGTGGCCACCCTCCTGTCATGCTTCCATATGTGCGGGAGGGCCCAAGTACTGAGCTCATTGCAGAGCTCCTAGAGAGGAAGGGAAGCTAAGGCTTACTGACGAGGCCCATGCCCATGTACACCACGGGCTGTCTGCATTTGGCCATTGTCTCTTTGGAGTAAGGAGGCTGCTGACAGCTGCCCTGGAGCCTGCACATTGTATGTTCTGGCTGCAGTGTGCCCCTGGGAGGGTGCCCGAAACTCTTTCTGGCCTGTCTTGTCTCTCATACCCACACATGTGCACACAGGGCCCTGAGCTCTTCTTATCCTCGGGGGGTGGGGGGGGATATTTTTCCAGAAGCTGTCCCTGGACTGCTGACTGGGGCTGGTCATCTGTCCCCATGCTTGGCAAACTCTCATCAGCAGTTTGTGCCTTAGCTGTCACTGTGGCTCCCACAGACCTGGGAGCCCTGCGAGTCATGAGTGGTCTTGGTCACCGTCCACATCACAAAGCCAGACAGCTGAGCCACGTGATACAGCCAGTCTAAGGGGAGCCGAGGAGGGAGGCAGCCACTTTGGTGGGCACACGCTGTCCACTCCTCAGCAGTGTGCTGGAATGGGCCGGGCTGGTTGGTCACCGAGACCCTGGGAACCAGCTAAATGGGGCAATGCTCCTTGCAGCACCCAGAGGCACCCACCTGTGGGAGTTTATCCGGGACATCCTCATCCACCCAGAGCTCAATGAGGGCCTCATGAAATGGGAGAATCGGCACGAGGGTGTCTTCAAGTTCTTGCGCTCTGAGGCCGTGGCCCAACTTTGGGGCCAAAAGAAGAAGAACAGCAATATGACCTATGAGAAGCTGAGCCGGGCCATGAGGTGGGTGAGCTGCTGGCTGGGACAGTTTATGCTGCCCTGGCCTCCCCAGCCACCGCTGGGCTGCCATGGGATCAGTCTGTGTCCCGCAGGGTGAGGGCAAGGGCAGCCTGGTCCTGTTGGGTGGCTCCAGTGACAGCATAGAGAAAGCATTGGGTGGGCTGGCATGTGGTGAGCACGGCACACGCGGCCAGCAGCAGCGTTTCTGCGTATGGTCCACAGGGCTCATCCCAAGAAAGGCTCTAGAGCCACAAGGGCAGAGCAGGTCATCTATAGGGTCCCTTTCTCCTGCATTCCAGTGCTTTGATGAAAAGCTGCAGGACACAACCATAAGATACAACGCACAAGCGGGGGCACTCCGGGAGGCTGAGGTGGGAAGATTGGAAGTTTGAACCAAGCAAGAGTCTGTCTGAAAAACAGAATAAGGCTGGGGATGTAGCTCAGTGTGAAGAGCCTGGGTTCACTCTCCAGTGCTGGGGGGAAAGTGCAGAATAGGAGCCCTGGACATGATGCTAAGCCAGCATAGTGACAACAGGTGAGAAGGGAGTTGGAGTCAGGTGCAGGTACAAGCCAGAGGGGCAGGCAGTACAGTGAGGACTCTTGGGCTCCATGGGAGGTGGTGGCAGCAGTGTAGGGGTCCTGCTTGGCATCCCTGACCACCTTGTTCCCACCCAGGTATTACTACAAACGTGAGATCCTGGAGCGGGTGGATGGCCGGCGGCTTGTCTACAAGTTTGGCAAGAACTCCAGCGGCTGGAAGGAAGAAGAGGTTGTGCAGAGTCGGAAGTAAAGGTCTGAACCAGACCCAGGACCAAACCCACAGACTGGACTGCTGGTGGCCACCGCTTCCTAGAGGACCCGCGGGCCGGACACCCCTCCGTTTTGCGGATGTACTCCCTCTGCTGTGGCAGGAAACTGAAAGCTGACAAACCATGACAGGGCCTTGGACCTGGAGCCCGCGGCCTCTTCTTCTCCCTGCCATCTTGGAATACAAGTTCTGGGGTCTGAAGTGACTTGCTCATTACAGTCCCAACACTGACTGTGGACTGTGCCTTCCTCCTGCCTGGACTTGACCAAGGAAGCCAAGGCGGGCTGAAGGGGAGCTGTGGGGACAGACAGAAAGAACTATGGCCTGCAGCGCCTCTTCCAGGATTGGCTTCCACACCTCCCTGCTCAGTGCTTGGGCTCCACAGCGGGGGATCAGATCCCTAATTTATGTGCTATAAATATGTCAGATGTATATAGAGATCTATTTTTTCTAAAGCATTCCCTCCCTATCCCTTCCCTCCAAATGCTGGTGGCCAGACTATTCTATACCCCTGACTGGGCCAGCGCAAGGGGGGGGTGATCCCTGCCAGAATCCTCACATTGGGGTTTTGGTTCCTTTCTCCTGTGAATGGAGGTGGAGCCCTCCAATAAAGTGCCCTCTGGGCTTTTTCTAACCTGTGTCTTAGCTGTGTAGATTTTCCATGGCAGGAGGGTGGGCTGAGGATGGATTTCCCAGCACCTTGGTTGGGGACTGGGAGTGGACAGAGAATGAGCCAGACAGCGGCTGAGGACTCTTAAGACTTCACACGCGGGAGAGTACAGGAAGCTGAGAGCAGAGCTGCGCTGCCCCAGCACATGGGCGCTGTGACCTTGGCAGAGTCTGTCACTGAGGCTGCTTCCTCTTGTAAGACAGAGGTTTGGACCTGATGTTCTCTAAGAAGTCTAGGATTGCATGCCCAGCCTTGTGGAATAAATAGATGCTTTTGCATCCCAGCCAAGTTGGCTTCAAGCTGAAATCTGTAATATGAATCCTGGCTTTTGTGTCTGATGTGAAATCAAAGTTCTGATCTGGTAAAGGGGGAAAAAGAAAAAAAAAAGCAAAATGGAGATGAATACTTTGATAGAAAAAAAACCACGAGGGAGGGCACTGACAATTGTTGACAGCCAGTCTTCTGCCAAGCACTGTGTGACATGCCTTGCCACCTCCTCTCCTGGGGAGAGGGGTCTCACCAGGTCCACAGGTGCAGTTTGAGGCTTGGGAGATGTACTTTGGCTCTTTTAGCCCATCCCTGGGAGCACCTCTAACGTCACCGACTTGGAACTTCCTCTGCAGATTCCAGAACTGTTACTCTTCCAATGCACCGAGATAGTGAGTCTGGCTTTAGAGAGGACGTTTTACTGGAGGGACTGTCCATGAAGGGCTGATTAGGGAGAACAACTTTCAGGTGCTGGAAATAGTTTGCAGCTTCAAATGCTATAGGGCACACTCAGACATTTCAATTAAATTTGAAATACTACTCAATTGTCTTGGACATACCAGATTATTCGCTGTAGGGATATACATAATGCACATTTATTGGAGACAATGGCGGAATCCTGAAAGAATCTTGAATCTTCTGGTGTTGTTTTGGAAAGAGTCTCCCCTCTGAAGTGGAAGCAAGTTAGCCATCTTGGGCAGCGCCTAGGGTGGAGAGCGCCAGCCTGTTTTCTGCGCTGCCACCAGAGATTGAGAGTGACCTCACTTCCGAGAACCTGTGTGCTCCATACTGTGCTAGCTTCTCCGTCGTGTCATGTCCAGGGTCTTACACACCAAAGAGAGGTGACCCAGTGCTGCCTGACCGGAGATTGTCTGGCCAAGCATGGGTGATGGGCCTTTGGAACCCTAGACACGCTTGCCGAGCCTCCCCTGGTGCTGTTTCTTCAGCTCCAAGAAGATTCGAGCAGGCAGTTTCAGTGAGAGGGCATGTGGGGCAGGCGATGGCCTTAAGTGAGCTGGGGTGCCGGGCTGACCTTTGTCCTGCCGTTTCCAGTTTATGAGGCGCTTTCTTCATGCCATTGTCTCACTGGATCTGCCTCAGAGCCCTCAGAGGACCTTGAGTGTCCCCATTTTACTCATGAGGCTAAAGGCTGGTCCAAGGTCATGGGCCAGGTAAGAGAGGGAACCAGAATCTAGTACTCCCTTGGCCAGCCCCTGACAGAACCAGGAGGAGAGAAAACATTTCTCCCCAAAATCTCCTTATTCCTGCTCTCTACCTCCCCACGCTGTCCCCTCTGCCCCTCATGATGACTTGAAGACCATCAGAGACCTACAGGTCAGGCTTTCTCAGCCCCTCCCCTGAGCCTCTTTGTGGGGAGCCAGCCAATCTCACCCCAGTTCACAACAGGCCAGGGGCCTGGGAATGGGCCCCCACCCAGAGGAGGCCCCGGCTGTCACCTGCCTGGCCCTGGGGTGTGTTGGGGTGGGGTGGGGGTGGAGCTGGGCTGTTTATACCCTGCCCGGAGCTGCTGGTTGCCTCTTATCAGCTCCTATGGGGCTGGGTGTGTGGCTGTACAGGTGGGAGGGAGGTCACTCCTCCATGTTTGGGTGTGCCAAATCTGGGGGCTGGGTGGCCCTGGCCTCCTGGACCACTGGCTCCCAGAACCCCACAGCCCTGCCCTCTCACCAGTTCAGGGGAAATCTCCCTTCACAGGCCTTCTGTGAAGCAGGTGAAGAGGTGCAATATTATCGAGGGCTTTTTTCAGTCTGCTCCTTTATTCCAGTTATCTGTGTACACCTCCCTCCTTTATTGGGTTGGTTGAGAGGCCCTTGAGCAAATGCAGGGCTTACTCATCTCCGGGCCTCCATGGCACAGGCATGGGAAGGGAGGCAGCAAAGCGTCAGTGTTGGCCACACTGCCCGTGACTCCCTGCCCAGCCTCTCCTCTCCCCTCCTCTCTCTCTCTGTCCTGCATTCACATACCCATAGCACACAGACATACACTTGTACACACACTGCATGCACACACTCTTACACACTCATGCACATCTCTTACCACACACACGCACACACACACATACCCTGGCAGGCAGAAAGTGCAAAATGCATGCCTGAGGCCCTGGGTTCAATCTCCAGCAAATGAAAAAAAAAAAAAAAAAAAAGCAAGCCCACTCACAACCCCTCATCACATGCACTTGCATGTGTTGTAAACATTATACACTCATGAGCTCACACTCACTTAGGACATACATCTGCAATCCACATGCATGCACACACACCCCTCCTCTGGCATGGAGGTGTATGATTGCCTCACCCTCCTTACACTGCCCTGTAGGCATTCATTGCTGGTCCTGCTGCAGTGAAAAATGAAATCTCATGCCCTTTAAAAGTTACTTAAAGCTGGGCCATGGTGGCTCACGCCTGTAATCCCAGCACTCAGGAGGCTGAGATGGGAGGATCATTGCGAGTTCAAGATCAGCCTGGGCTACAAAGTGAGCTCAAGGCCAGCCTGAACTGCATAGTGAGACCCTGTCTCTAAAGAAGACAGAAAAAAATAAAGTTACTTAAAATGTCAAAATGGTGATAGCAGACAGTTAACACAATCCCTGAGCACAGTGCGGGCCACGGAGCCAGAAGCCAGTCTGTTCTGTGGGGGTCCCCTGGCTGTGGGGGCTCCAGGAACTACCCCACCTTCTACCACAGCTGCACTCACAGTGGGCTGCAGACCGGGGGCTGTGGCTGAAGCTGGACCACAGGGGAGCCCTGTGGTCCATCCCCAGCACTGAAAAACAAAAACCACCAGACAAGTCGCCAGCATTTTAGAATCAGGAAAGTTTGCATAGAAAGAGCCTTGAATTTTTGTCCGCTTTTTAAAAACTCAGATCTGGCCAAGTTGAAATAGTTCCATTAAAGTGCACTCTGTGCAAAGTGCAATCATGCTGGACCAGGTCAGTGGCATGTCTATGGATCCAGCAACTGTGGAGGCTGAGGCAGGAGGACTGCCTGAGCTCTGGAGCCCAGGGACAGCCTGGGCAAGGTAATGAGACACCTCCTGAAGTGGGGAGGGAGGAAGAAGGGAGAGGGAGAGAGGAGACAGCAGACAGAGAAAAGAGAGGGAAAGGAAAAGAAAAGGGGAAAGGAAGGAAGAGGAAGAGAAAGAAAGAAAGAATCATGCAGCCTTGCTGTGCAGTCCGTGTTCATCACCTTTGCCACCACAAAGCACCTGGGTGGCCCGAGGTATGTCCCTGCCCTCCACCTCCTGCTCCATTCTGAGAGCACATTTTTTTCCTGCCCTTCCTGCTCTACCTGGCAACATGGTGGTCTGTTGAAGATGTCAATAAATAAACCAGCGATGGGGTGGGAGTTTCAGGGCTGTCACACTCATGAGTGTAGAAACACAGCTGGTGCTGCCACTCTCAGGAAGGACCAACCACCACTGACAGTCACACACAAGCGATTTTGTTTTCACCTAACAGATGACTCTTAGCTCATCTTGGGACACGGCATAAAACAGGCCTTACAAGCCCTGGGGACTGCTGCACGACCTTCTGGGCTGGGCCACAGACATTGCCTCTGCCCAACAGTCTGCCACATCCTATCCCTCTTCACTTGCTGAGGGAGATTCGGCAAAACCTCATCTGTTCAAGCAAAGCTCTTTATATATCTGACCTGATTTGGCATGAGCACCTTAAATGCATGTCTGCATTATAACCGTTTACCAGTGATCTGTAGAACACAGCCTGAGATCCAGAAGGGTGACTCTCATTTTATAGATGAGGGAACCAAGGCTTGGGAGAGACAGGGACTGAGTGTGCTTATTAGAGCCGGCAAAGCACAGGGCGCGCTGGTCCAGAGCTACACTTCTTAAGGACACCTGGCTTCTGATGCGCACTGCTGTGTGTCAGGCAATGGGTTGTGCAATTGATCTCTGCACACCGTTCGTTCATTCTCCATTCTGTGTGTGCCAGCTTCCATGCACATGTGGGGAAGAAGCTAGCCAGAAAGAGGAGAGGGTCTGGACTGGAGCCTAAGGAATTTCAAACACTTCCACAAATCTCCGAACAAGGCTTGGAGATAGGGGACGAGTGCCTCATTTCACAGAAAAACTGAGGCTTTACAGAGGTGAAGAAACAGCTCACGCTCTTAGAGATAGGAAGGTTAAGAAACCAGGTGTTAGAACTTGGTTTTTTAACTGTCTTCTCAAACACATAAGTAACTGACTCTGCTTTAAGGGACACTAAGCAGCCCGAAATGTCTGCGTGTTGTGTGCTGCCTGGAATCGCACCACTGGGTGCAGTTTGAGAAGGGTCCTGTTGATCTACAACAGGGTGGAGTGGATTCAATTAGTGTTGCTTTCCAGGGATGCTTGATCCCACAGGAAGGATGGGAAATGAGCTTCAGCTCCTGAGAACTTCAGGGTGATCAGAACTCAAAAACGCTCCTCCTCAGTCTGGCCCGGTCCTCTTTCTGCTCCTCCTCCCCCTCCTCCTCCTCCTCTCTCTGCTCTTCTTCCCCCTCCTCCTCCAGCATTGCTGCTACGTGCAGGGCTGGGCTGGGGCAGCAGCAGCAATTAACCCAGTTCAGCCGCCCGTTACTGGAACCTGCATGTCAACTCTGGAGCAGCTCCAGGAAGCCACGCCCAGTGTCCCGCATGACTCATGCTCACCTGCTCACCTCCCAGCGGCCGGCCAGCCCCACTGAGCCAGGCCATAGTCACAGGGGAAAGTCCCAGCAGCCTTCAGTTGTCCTCGATCACCCCAGGTGTGTATGCATGGTGAGTTGGGATTCAGGGTTCTAGGGTCTCAGTTTGGTGCCCTGCCTGATTTATAGCCAAGCTCCAGACAGGACCGATGCTGGAGGCAGAGCTGGTCCTTCCACAGAGAACACAGGCCTCGATGCTCTGTCTCACCTGTTGTCGCTGGAGATCAGACCAGGGGAAGAGTTGCAAGATGCCACTTGTCCTACCAGATGCGCAAAGGATGCCCTTGCAGAAAGAGAGAGAGAGAGAGGAGCATGAAGAAAGTCAAACTTGATCAGCTGCTCCGGGGATGACCGGAGAGATACCTTCCAAAGATGATTTAACCAAATGGTTTAATATTTCACAAAGCAATTTTTCAAATTAATTTACTTATTTGTCTATTTTGAGACAGAGTCTGACACTACGGGTCTGGTTGATAGTCTGAACTCACTAGAGATCCCAAGTTGCCATCAAATTTGCAGCGATCCTCCTGACTCAGCCTCCCAAGTACTGGGATTACAGACGTGTACCACCACATCTGAAAACATAGCTATTTTATGTGTAAGCATTTTTTCCAAAGAAAATAACTGAATAAGTGCACAAAGATGTACAAGGCTGTTTATTGTGGTGTTGATGTATTTGCAGACAAGAGGTAACAAGCTGTGTCAATGGAAAGCTAGAAGTGGTTACACAGGGTTCCCAGGACTAAGGAGGCTGAGGCAAGAAGGCTCACTGGAAGTTTGAGGGCAGCCTGGACTACATAGTGAGACCCTGGCTCAAAACAAAACAAAACAAACAAACAAGAGGATGGGGTGCGGAGGATATTGCTCAATGACAGAGTGCAGAGTCTTGGGTTCTGTCTCTAACAACACACATACAGGCACACAGACAGACGGATTAGTGAAATAAACTGAAGTAGACACAGTTATCCAGACACTAGGCCACCACGAGAGTGATGTAGAGGTGCAGAGTTTTGTCCATGATATATATTAAGTGAAAAAAAAAATAGTTTTGTACTCATTTTGTGTAGAATAAGCCCACTTTACTGCTTATCTCTGCATGATACCATAGGAAATATTTTTATATTTTCTGAGGAAAATTAGAGTGGGTTATATTATTATACAAAATAAGCTATGGCACAGGCCTATAATCCCAGAACTCTAGGAAGCTGGGGCAGGAGAATTGCAGGTTCCTATCTGACCTACATAACTTAGACACCATCCAAAATAAATAAAAAGGATGCCATCCCTAGTATGGCAAAAATAAATAATTTTTTTTTAATGTAGAAGACTGGTGATGTAGCTCTGTTTTAAAGTAAGCCTGGTTCTATGTCAAGTACCCCCCAAAACAAAGGACAACAAAACACAGCATCTCATTAACATCACAATAATCATAAGTAGGAATTTCCATCCCCAGTTCCCAGATGAGTAGGTTGAGATGTGGTGAAGCTGAGTGCTGGGCAATAATTGTAGAAATACGAGGTGATGGAGCCAGGATCTGACCTGGTTCACACTGGAGATATGAGGCCTCAGGTTGTCTTAGCTAGGGCTGGAGCCGCTCCTGTGGGCTGTCTTACTGCCAGACATTTGTGCTCACTCATTCCCTGATCCCTTCATAAAATACTTAGTAAGCACCTCTGCTGTGATTATCTGTGTAGATACTGGCCTTCAGAGATGCTCGGATCTGCTCAACATTCTCTCCAAGAGAACAGTGACATAAATATTGTCCTGCTACCAAAGGTAACTAAGATAAAACAGAGCTTGGTGTGGTAGCACATGCTGTAATCCCGGCACTCAGAAGGCTGAGGCTGGAGAACTGCTGTGAGTTTGAGGCCAGCCTGGACTACAAAGTGAATTCAAGGCCAGCTGCATAGCAAAACCCTGTCTCAGACCAAAAAAAGAAAGAAAAAAAGAAAGAAAAAGATAGAGCAGGAACATTGGATACTGGCAAGGGTGTGGGCAACTTGGCTCTGTCCTCTGTGGCTAGCAGAAGCTAACATCGTACAATCTTCTTGGAGAAAAAGTAGGCCAGTGTTTAAAAATGTGCAAAGCATGCCAGGCCTAGTGGCACATACCTGTAATCCCAGCCTCGGGAGGCTGAGGCAGAAGGATTACTGTGGGTCTGTGGCCAGCCTGGGCTATATAAGTAAGTCTCAAATACAGAAACAAAAACAGAAAACTGTGCAAAGCCCTTTCATGAGGCTGAAGCAGGTGGAGCACCACAAGATAAAGACCAGCCTGGGCTTCATGGTGAGTTCAAAGTCCCCCTCAAGAACACAGTGAGACTTTCTCAGAACAATTAAAAACAACAACAACAACAATAAAAGTGCAAGGCCCTAACCCAACTGAAGGAGTCAACTTCAAGGAATTATTTTATTTTATTTTATTTTATTTTATTTTATCTGGTACTGAGGATCAAACTCATGACCTCACACTTACCAGGCAAGCACTTGAACTGCTGAACTAAATCCCCAGCCCTCAAGGAATATGTTTTAAACAATAGCAATAACAACAAAAGAATCAGAGAATTTTTCTGAGATCAGAGATACATGTCCCAAGCTGGGTGGGGCAGTGCATGGCTATATTCTCAGTACTCTGGAAGCTGAAGCAGAAGATTTCCATGAGTTCAAAGCCAGCTACAAAAGGAGACCCCATCTCAAAAAACAAAACAAAACAAAGCCCAAGATACACCTATCAGATTTGTGGTGTATTGGTAAGAACCAAAATGCCCAAACAGAAGGCATTGGTCAAATATGTTGTCATACCCAAACAAGGAACCATTATGCAATCATTACAAAGGTTGATATGTGAGTATTTAGGACATGGAATGCAGTTCATGACACAGCGTGAAGAAGGCTGGTTACAACACAGCATGCACTGAATATTTTAATTTTTGTTCAAAAAGACGGAGATAAGGCTCGGGGTATCGCTCAGCAGCAGAGCCCTTGCCTACATGCCAGAGACCCTTGCTAAAAGAAAAGAAGGAAAGAAATGTAGAGATGACTGTGGTTATTTATAAGCTTATAAATAACCACAGAAGAGTTTGGGAGGCTACATATCAGCTTGATAATAATGGGCATGTTTGAAGAGTGGATTATAAATGATTTTTACTTTGTGTGTGTAGGCTTTTTAGAGAAAGCAAGTACTCTCTATACTTCCAGCCCTAATGTTATTTCTCTTTCTTTTCCTTTTTTTGTTTGAGATAGGATGTCTCGCCAAATGAGTTCAGACTGGCCTTGAACTCACTTTATAGTCCAGGCTAGCCTCAAACTCCTAGTGATGCTCCTGTTTCATCCTCCCAAATGCTGGGATTACAGGTGTGCTCCACCATGCCCAGCTCCTTCAGGTTCTGGCTGTCTTTTCTATTCATTTATTTTAAGAAAAATTCACAAACTCACAGTGATCCTCCTGCCTCAACCCACCCCCAACCCCACCAACCCTGGGATTACAAGTGTGCACCACTACACCCAATTTTTGAGATATAATCTTTATTTTTGTTCCTTTTTTTTTAAACAACATTTTGCTGTGTAGTGCAGGCTGGGCTTGAATTTACTGTGTAGCCCAGGCTAGCCTCAAACTCACAGCCACCCTCCTGCCTCAGCTTACTCAATGCTGGGATTACAGACATGTACTACCATGCTCTGCGGTTCCTCTTGAAATTAAAAAAAATGCCAGGAGACATGGTATATACCTCAAATCCAAACTGCTCAGGAGACTGCGACAGGAGGATCCAAATTTTAAAAGTCTGGGAAATTTAATGAGACCCTATCTCAAAAATTTCTGTGTAAAGGGCTCCAGAGGCCGACACAAGAGGATTCCTATGGATTGGAGGCCATCTTGGTCTATACAGTGAGCGACCCTGCCTCAAAACAAAATAAAACAAAATACCTGGGGATGTAGCTCAGCACTGAATTCAATCTCCAGGGCTAAATAAACAAACATATACATAAGACAAAAATTCACTCTGTCCATTTTGCAAAAGAAACATTTTAATGCAAAACAGTGAAACAACTAGCATGTCTAATATTTGGAATAAACTAATATGTGACTCATCTGTTTACAACATAGAATACTATACATCCTTTGCAAATGATGATTCACTGAAGAGTACGTTCTCTGCCAGGCATCGATGATACAAGGAAGCCGAGGCAAGCGCTGTTTCGTGAAGTCATCTGAGCCCGCGGACGGTTGGCACACACTGGGGTGGAAGGTGATGAAAGTACACAGCTGTAGGTAAAGCGGTTCACACCTGTGTACTCGCCATCCCAGCTGTCAGGAGGCTGACGTAGAACTGCTTGAACCCAGGAGTTGCAGGTCAGCCTGGTCAACAAAGTAAGCTCTTTTCTCAAAAAAGAGCAAAACCAGTAAATAAAAAGTGGCATTGCCAGAATCATGCACGATGGTGCGCACCAGGACTCCCAGCACTCAGGAGCCTGAGGCAGGACTGTGAGCTCAAACCAGCCTGGCCCGCCTGGACTACAGTCTCCAAACACTAAGGAAACAACATAAAACAAACAACAACAATCCCCCCCCCCCCAGCCGGGCGTGGTGGTGCAGGCCTGTAATCCCAGCACTCCAGAGGCTGAGGCAGGAGGATCACTAGGAGTTCAAAACAAGCATGGGCTAAATAGTGAGCTCAAGGCCAGCCTGAATCACCTAGCCAGACCCTGTCTCCAAACAAGCAGACAACAGAACGAAAACTCAAACAAAAACCGCTACAGCCTTTCTAGCCCCCTTCCTAGAGGCTCCGCCCACTCCCCTGCTCCGCCCACAGCCCCGCCGGGATCTAGCTGCCTCTTGAGTGATGCCTGCTTCTCTGCTCACGTCTGCTGAAGTCCAGGGTAGCTCTCAGCAGCCCCAGTTCTGCCGTGGACATGTCTGCTCCGGGAACCTTCCCAGCCTGTGTGCACAGTGTTTCTGGGGCACCTGTGTGGGTCTCCGCATCCTTCACCCCACGGCTGCCTACAGAACCACGCAGGCGGCCGCTCCACCTCCACAGACAGCTCTAGCTGGAGCCTCCTCAGGGCCCCCCACCCAGCAAGGGAGAGCCCCTTCCTTCCAGCTGCTCAAGAGGAAACCTTGGAGTCATCCCAGATTCCTCCCTTTTCCCCACCTTCCACCTGGCAGCAAGTCCTGCTTATTTGACACTGAAGTACTTTAAGGAGCCGGGCATGGCGGCGCAGTCCTGTATTCCCAGAACTCAGTAGGCTGAGGCAAGAAGATCGCTGTTAGTTCAAGGCCAGCCTGGGCTACACGGTGACATAGTTCAAGGAGAGCCTGGAACACTTAGACCCTGTCTCAAAACACAAACAGACAAACAAACGAACAGACCTCATAATCACAATACATGGTGGTGTATTCCTGTACTCACAGCACTTGCGAGGCTGAAGCAAGAGGATCGCTGTGAGTTCGAGGTCAGCATTGGCCACATAGTTCAAGACCAGCCTGTACTACACAGTGAGGCAATTTTTTAAAAAAGTAAAACCAGACTGGGGATATATAGCTCAGCGGTACAGCGCCTGCTTGGCAAGTGCAAGATCATGAGTTGAATCCCCGGTACTAAAAAACAAAACCAGAAAATCCTCTAGAAAACAAACAAACAAACAAACAGCTAGCTAACTACACACACACACACACACACACACACACACACACACACACACACACACTGCAGTGGTAAAATACTTATCTAGTATGCATAAGGCCTTTCTGTCTCTAGAAAAGGGGAAATAAGTGGCTAGAAATAAATTTTTAAAAATATATCTATCTCATGCATCCCTGTATATTCGAATCCAGCCACTTCTCTGTGACCTCTACTGTCTCCCTGCCTGTAATCTAACACACAAGTGTTCATTGCTCTTCCTGGTCTTGTGATCCCTCACAGTCCCTGTTCAAGACCCTCCAAAGCTACAGTGCCTTTTAGAGAGGGAATGTGATTCAAAACCGAGCTCCTGCTCTACCTCCTGAATGCTGCCATTACAGGCATGTGCCACCCAGTCTTATTTTTTATTTTGAGATGAGGTTCTCTCAATTGCTAAATTTCCCAGGCAGGACTTGAACCTGCAGTCTTCCTGCCTCCGCCTCCCAGAATACCGAATTCCAGAAGTGTGCCATCATTCCCTGCTATTCTGTCCATTTTATTCACAGTGCCTATCCCAGAGAGGCATTCAATAAATAATTAATTGAATAAATAAATGTACCCACCTCAGACTTCACATTAATTATCACCTTTGAACCCCTAAGTGGTGACCTCTGGCAAGCCAAGGACCTTTCACTCTCATCAGTGGGTGAAAAGCTGGTCACTCTGGCATCAAGGGACTTTCCTTTCCTTTTGTTTTACGCTTGGACTGGATGGTGATGGCCCTCCAGAAACTGGCAAGGAATTGGATGGGGAAGGCTGGAGGGAGAGGGAAGGATGGAGTGGGATGCCAGCTTGGCGGGCAGGCCCGGGGAGGAGGCTGGAGGCCCAGGCCAGATGGCCCTGGGGTTCATCCTCAGTTGGGCCAGTGTGGATGTCCTCATCAGTCCTGCCCTAGGTCACCCTGGGACAGGTACTCACTGCTCCCTTCGCTAGAGAGGGCTTTCCAGGGCTAGAGTGGGGCTGATCCTCCATGCTCGCATCCCATGGGGTGGTTCTGGAGACTGAATGGGGCCGTCAGTGTATATTCAGTGTATACCTGCTGAGCACTCAAAGTGGGGTGGTATGCAGGGAGTTGAGTGGAGTGCTTGCCTGCTGCATTGGAGACCCTGGGTTCTACCCCAAGCTCTGCAAAAAAGAAAGAAAGAAAAAAAAGCACAAAAAAAGACAAAAGAAAGGAAGCAGAGGGAACAGGCCAAATAATGCACATTCTATCTTTTTTTAGGATGTGGGGTTATCTGCAGGGCATGGGATATGGCACCAGGGCCAGGACTAGCAGCCTGCAGACTCCAAATTTGGAGCCTTTCTCCTGGCTCCTTAGGTTCTCACCACCTACAGTTTCCTCCATGCCCAGCAGACTAGGCCAACCCACCCCTCAGTACCTCTGTCCTCACGCCTGCAGGTCTCCCTGGCATGTGCTCGCGGTTCCCACAGTGACCACCTGGGCTGGCTTCTAGGTGTGGTCAGGAATGCCTCCTCAGCTCAGAAAGCCCCCTGACCCAAGCTCCCCAGCAGTTTTCAACAGCTCTGCAGGGGGTTGGAGTGACATCAGGCCTTGCAGGCTGGGCTGGTTTCCCTGAAAGTCCTCGCCTCTCTGGAAGGAGACTGTGTGACCTCATCCAGGCACGGAGCGGGCACAGAGCGAATGGTTAACCAGGCTCCTCTTCAGCCTCAAAGGCCTGGCCTAGAACGAATACCCACAGGGCAGGAGCCTAGTGGACCCTGGCCAGGACTGGGTGTGCAGTGACCCTGTCCTTGGTCACTGCCTCATTATCTGCATCACTGCTTACAGTAGGTGGTAGAAAGTTGCCCAAACTATAAATAACTAACTATACAGAGGGCATGGAGGACATTTTTAAAAATGTTTATTTATTTATTCATTTTGTATTGGGGATCAAACTCTTGCTTGCCAAGCAGGTGCTTGCTTGCCAGGCAGGTGCTAAATCCCTGGCCCTTATTTATTTATTTTTGTACCAGGGATTGAACTCATAACCTTGCGCTTGCCAGGCAAGTACTTGTGCACTAAGCTAAATCCCTGGCCCTATTTGTTTTGTTTTTGGTTCTGAGAATCGAACTCACAACCTCATACTTGCCAGGCAGGCATTTACGCACTGAGCTAAATCCCGGCCATGGTACACTATACAGTCAGGCTGGCCTTGAACTCACTTGTGTAGCCCAGGCTGGCCTCAGACTCACAGCAATTCTCTTGCCTCAGCCTTCCGAGTGCTGGGATTACATTGCACCATACCTGACCGGAAGATTGTCCTTTTTTTTTTTCTTCAAATCCATTTTATTTCAAAGAGAAAAAAAATCTTTTAAAATACAATAATCAGGACAACAATGGTACATACATTGTGCATTGGCATCCCCAAATCATTCACCCAGAGCACAAGACATCTGCATTCAATTGTCTGAACAATACCAGCACAAATGTTTCAAGACTTTCTGATGGCAAACAGTGTCTTACATTCTACGCAAGCTTGGTGGTTTTTTATTCATCTAGCACTGATCAAATTTAAAATGTATATATTAAAACCACTTTTTAACAGGACATATAATCTCAGCTCCGTGAGAGAGCTGAGGAAGCCTGGGTGAGTTAGAGAGACCTTATCCTATAAAAAAAAAAAAAAGAATTTAAAAGGAATAGAGAGGTAGTTCTCAAGAATTTATACTCTTGAGATTAACAGATAACATCCAGTTAACTGCACAGTGGGGTGAGGCCTGGCTGCCAGATAGTGATTCTGAGTCAGAAACTAATTGATTGGTTTTCAGGGCTGGGCTACACAGAGGAGTCGAACGCACATGGCAAGTGGGGCCTGCTGTGTGCCCACCCAAATGCACACAATGTTCAGCACAAAGCAGTCAGAGTGCAAATGGTAATTCACTTTGAACAACTGATGCGCTCCTCGGAAGAAAGCGCAGGTGCTGACCCTTCTGTTCCCTGGCCCTAAGGACCCCTGAGCCCGGAAACCGCCTGCTGTGGTCTATGGATCTCTGTGCCCCGCTGGGAGCCCCAGTGGAGTGGAGAAGAGGCCTTCCTCTGCCCTCTGGAGTTGCTCTGGCTTGCTTCCATCCCAGAAGCCCTGCTGTCTGGGGATTTCCACCCTCAGCCTTTTCTCTGCTCAAGTCCGTTTCTGTATTGACTCAGAACCTTGAGATTCGGGACAGCAACTTCTGGGTTGCCACTTGGTTTCTGGGACCTGTCTGTCCCTCAGAGGCCTTTGCTTGGGCACTGCTGGGACAAGTGTGAGAAAATGCACCAGGAGTCTTGGTGGGGAGACAGGGCCCTTCCTGCAGGTGTAGCCCACCGACAGGGCCATCTTTGCATGGCCCACCAGGCATTAACAGAGCAGACGCCAGCCCTGGCCAAGGGCTCGGGGTTCAGGCGCTCCTGGCATAGCCCAGTGACACCTGTTCGATTCTTTGTTTTTTTTTTTTTTTTCTGTTCGATTCTTTGGATGAGGACTTACACTCTCACCTTTACCCTTCCTTCTCTCCCTCTTTCCCTGTTCCCGGGAAGCCTGGGCTCCTGGTCTCCATGTGTCTGCCCAGCATGGCAGACAGAGTAGCAGTCTCTTCCTTAGACACTGGATGAGTAGAGCCCTAGACTCTCACCACCATGAAATTTCCCAGCTGTGGTTGCCACAGGACCAAGGCCACATCAACAGCCGGGCCAAACTATCGTTTATGTGAATGGCCTCTCTTTAAATAGGCTCCTTCTTACAGCGTCGGTGAAATCAGCCAGACACAAAGGACAAACGCCATACAATTTGACCTGCATGTGGTGCCAGGAACAGGCAAATTCACAGAAACAGAAAGTAAATGGTGGTTTCCAGGGGAGGGGCCAGGGAGAATGGGAGTTATTGTTTAAGGGACACAGTTTCAGCTCAGGATGATGAGAAAGTTCAAGAGGTAGGTGGCAGCGAGGTTGCACAACAAGGCAACTGCTCAGGGTCACAAAACCGCACATTTAAACATGGTTGGGATGGTAAAGTTGTGTATATCGTAACCAGAATTGGAAAAACAAGAAAGCAGCTGGATGTGGAGGTTCACACCTGTAATTCCAGCCACTTCAGAGGCTGAGGCAGGAGGATCAAACGTTCCAGCCCAGCCTGAGCAGCCTAGCTAGACTATCTGGAAATTAAATGGAAAGGGGTACCCAGTGAGGTGGCACACGCCTGTAATCCCCAGTGCTTGAGAGGCTGAGGCTGGAGGATCATTGCAAGTTTGAGACTAGCCTGGGATACAAAGTGAGTACATGGCCAGCCTGAAATGCATAACAAGACCCTGCTCAAAAAGGCAATAACAATAATAATAATAATAAATAAAAATAAAAATAAAAAGGGCTGGGTATAAAGAAGAATAAACCGGACAGATAAATGGATGCATCTTGAGACCATACTCATTAGTGAAATCCAACACACATGTGTTAACATTGTATTGTTTCACTAGTGTGAGAAGTTGAAATAACATATATATATGTGTGTGTGTGGATATATATGTACATAAAAATAGTTAAGATAGCTATATTACTGATTTCTCTGAGTTCACTGAAAAGAAAGATTTGTGTGGGTATTCTTTGGACAATTGAATGCAAAAAATACCCAAAAGGGACTGGGTATGCAGCTCAGTGCTGCATAGGTTTAATAACCCAGTATGGAAACAAAACAAAACAAAACCAGGTGATAAACATCCTGCTGTAACCCCTGAACAAGTTCAGTTAAAAGTGGATTGAAGCCAGGCATGGGGGCACACAGCTGTAACCCTGGCACTCTAAAGGCTCAGGCAGGAAGTCACAAGTTCAAACCCAGCCTGGACAACTTAGCAACTAAAAAATAAAAAAAGGGCTGGAGATGTTGTGCACTGTGAAGACCCTGGGTTCAATACCTGCTAGTACTGAAAAGCAGACAGACAAGGATTTAGATCTAAACAAGACTCCAAGATGGTGGGGCTTCACTGCAGTTCCAGCCTCTGCAGGCTCAGGCAGAAAGATCTCTGGAGCCCAGGAGTTCAAGCCCCACCTGGGGAACATAGGCACTCTCTGTTAAACAAAAATAAATAGATAAATAAAAAATACATTAAAAAGTCCCCCAGTCAGGTACAGTGGTGCATTTGAGAATCTAAAGCCGAAGGATCACAAGTTCCTATCCAACCTGAGAAACTCATCAGTACTTGTCTCAAAAGTCCCTATAGATGTAGTTTAGTGCAAAGGTCCTGGTTCTAACCCCACTACTAGAAAAACAAGAGTCCCTTTTTGATTGAAATATATACAAAGAAACTTTATATTGACATCCTACTTACCATTTTCCTAGTGTACATTAAAATACTTCCATAGCCGGGCATGGCGGTGCATGCCTAGGATCCTAGCACTCTCGGAGTCTAAGGCAGGAAGGATAGCAAGTTGGAACCCAATTTGGGCAGCTAGGCAACTTGGGGAGGCTCTGTTTTCAGAAAGGGCTGAGAGACCGAGGATATAGCTCAGTGGCATAAGTGCCTGCCTTGCAAATACAAGGTTGTGAGTTCGGTTATGAGTTTGTTACCCAGTGCCATAAAGGGCTGAGATGTAACTCAGTGCAAGGGCCCTGGATTCAATCCCCAATATTGCCAAACAACAGCAAAGCCAGGTGTGGTGGCATACACCTATAATATCAGCACTCAGGAGGCTGAGACAAGAGAATCTTTGCAAGCTTGAGAGCAGCCTGGGCTACAAAGTGAGCTCAAGGCCAGTCTCAACTGTATAATGAGACTCTGTCTTAAAGAGAAAGAAAACAAAGCAAAGCAAAATCACTTCTTTTTAAAGCTTTGTACTCACTATGTAGTCCTGGGTGGCAATCCTCCTTCCTCAGCCTCCTGAGTACTGGGATTACAGACATATGCCACCACACCTGGCAACTGTTTTTTTGTTTTGGGGGACAGTCTTGCTGTGTGGTGCAGGCTGGGCTGGAGCCTCTTGATTACAGGGACCGCAGGTGTGCACTACCATGCCCAGCAAAACCATTTTTACACTTAACCTTTTAAAAATGGCTTGTTTATGTGTCACCAAAGCTCATCTTGCAAATGACCTTGAGTCAGGCTAGTACCCTTGGCCATGCCCGGGCGGCCCTGGCTTTCTGTTTCATCAAGTGTGGATAGAACAGTGGCGGTGGGCGGCGGACCACAGATCCCATCGAGGCTCTGGCTGACCCGCAGCGTGTAGCTGAAGCTCTAGGGGCTGTGTCTTTAGCTGTGAAATAGGGGTGCTAGGTCCCATTTTGTGGGATTAGAGAGGAGAACATCATGAGCTAACAGGTGTAAAGCATGAAGGTGGCACACGAGGTCACCACTAAGCTGCAACTCCTGCTCCCTCGGAGGCGGTTACCTCCCCCAGGAAACCTGCGCTAACACGGTCTCCCGCTGGCCAGGCTGGGGTCAGTACTCCTCTGTGCTCGCCGGGATCTCTGCGGGAATGCTGGCGAGTATCTGGTGCCACTGTCCATGAGGGTATCTGCCTGGGTTGGCACGAGAGGCTCCACGCCAGGCCTCGCCCAGTCAAGGTGGCAGAGAGAGACAGACCCCGGGGACCGCAGTTGCCCATTTTCCCAGAATTTGATGACTGCCTCCTCTCTGGAAGAAAGCTCTGATGTTCCTCCAGGTCCCATGTCCTCTCTCATAGGCAGCTGGACAACCACACTGGGGAGAAGAACAAGGCTGACAATATTCCAAACATTTGAATTGGGTTTTATCATTTACGAGTCCTCTTCATTAATCACCTCTTAGGGGCTGCATTTGACACAAGTGTGTGTAGCCGGTCAAGAGGCACAGATGGGCCTATAATCTCAGCACTCTGTGAGGCTGAGGCAGGATCACTGAAAGTGCAAGCCCAGTCTGGGCAATTTAGCAAAATCCTGTCTCGAAATAAAATCACTAAAGTGTTGTGATGAGGTGCAGTGCAAAGGCCCTGGTGCACTTCAATGCCCAGCTCCACAAGAAACTGACCCCTCGCCTGGCCTGGTCTCCCTCAGCCAAGGCCAGGCTAGGGCTACTGTTCTGCCCTCCCATGGTGCCACAAGCCACATTTTTTCTCTGCCCAGAATCTCCCTCCCTCCCTCACTGTCTTCAGCAAGCTTCACCCGCCCCTACCCTTGCGCTGCTCCACGTACTATGGGATGCATTTGTGTGTTTATCTGTACTCCCAGAGTGGAGGTTAAGGCAGTGGCCTTTGTTTTGTCTGCTGATACATGTGACCCCTAGTAGGTGTTCTGAACTGATGAATCCAACAAATACTTTTTTTGGTTGTCCTCTACTTCTCCTCACCTTAAAGAGGGAAAATGAAACATATTAGGGCCCTTTCATCCCTGAGCAGCCCCGTGGCTGACGCTGGCCAATAGCCGGGGGCCTGTGCTGTCCCCTCGAGTCCTTGCTGCAGGCTGAGCAGGTTGGGCTGTGCCTGAGGCCAGTACCATGGGGCAGGTGGGTCAGTGGGCAGCTGGAATGGGGGAGCCTTGGAAGGACAATGGGGACAGCTCCTGACCCTGCTGCCCCTTGGTGGGTAGGTCCCCAATCCCTGGATGCCAGCCCCCCTGCAGTGTGAAGTGGGCAGCTTTGAGCTGGATGAGCTGCAAACAAAGCCCTGGAGTCCCTTTGTCCTGCTCCTGCCCCCTGTCCTCTGTTTACATCCTTCCTTCCCGTAATTGAGTTGGGCACTGGGCCTCGCTGGCCCCAGGCCAGACACACCTGTAGGACAGGTTGGGCCGAGTTGCTGTAGACCGTGGGCCGGGAGCAGTGGCAGCACTGGCAGGTGATTGGGGCCCTTGGGAGCCAGCTCCACTCCCACCATGCAGCACTGGAGCCCTGCCTGCCACCCAAGGCCAAGGATTCCTGGCCAGCTGCAAGGCGACCAGATGCCCCCTGGGGGACCTGTGACCTCTGCTGTGCCTGGTGGTTACCGTCCTGGGTCTAAGAGGTAGGGGAGGCCATGGGGGGCCTGGTAGGGGCAGGAGGCCTCAGGGAGGTGTGACTTGGGTAAGGGAAAGTTTCCTCCTCCACCAGAGATTAGTTGGCCAAGTTCATGTAAGAGTGTTCCACCTGGTCTCTCCCGTTTCCCTCAACTGCAATGACGGGGTACCTAGTCACTGAGTATGTACCTGCAGCTCATTGCGCGCCTAGCCTCTGCTGGGTTCCCACGTGCTTGCCGTGCTCCCTGGTGATTCCCAGTCTGTGGCATCTGTCCTGGTGACTCTCTCGCCCCCCACCATGTCTCTCTTGCTTTCCTCCCACTCCTGCACCGCTGTCACCTCACAGACTCTCCCCAACAATCTTGCTAGGATATTAGAATGGTTTTTTTTTTTGGGCACAAGATTTCTCACTATGCAGTTTGAGCTGGCTTTGAACTCACTTTGTAGCCCACGCTGATCTTGAACTCCCAACAATTCTCCTGCCTCACCTCCCGAGCGCTAGGATTACAGGAGTGCGCCACCACGCCCAGCAACATTAGAGTTTTAAATGTCACATGCTTCTGGTTCCTGCCCTGTTGGATGGCACCACACACCATACCTCCTGTGGAGTATGGGGCACAGCCCTGTCCCCTGAGCCAGTGATGTCCCAGCTCTGCCCAGCTCCTCGAGACCACAGGGCAGCCCTTAAATTGAGCTCTGAGACCTCATAGGGGTCCTAGGGAGCCTGTGGGAGGCCCAGGCCCCCAACTGAAAACGGCTGGCTTAGCCCAGTCTCCTGCCCATGTCTGAGACCCTCTACAGGCCTGGCAGCCTCCACTCCTGTGTCCAGAGGCACAGGTGCAGGAGTTTCATCTCGCTCCCTGCCAAAGCCCTCCACAGGTCCCAGCAGGGTAGGTTTCCCAACAGTCTGTGCAAGAGGCTTCTCCAGGTTCCTCCACACTGGGATGAGGTGCTGAGCAGCCTGAGTAATGAGTTCCCCTCCAGCCCAAGTGAAGGAAAGGACCCTGCCCAGGGATGTTCTGCACCCAGGTCCTACATCTGCTGTTCCCTGAAGTGCTGTCTACCTCCAGTCTATCCCTCAGCTCTAGAGAGCACTGTTTAAGGTCCTCTGGGTCTACGGCCCACTGCTCAGCTCCCCTTCCACCAAGCCCACAATATCAAAGTCCAGTGAGCTAATCTCCTCACTGCCCCTCCACTGTGAGTATTCCAGGCCCAGTGCCTAAACTTTGCTGAATTCCCAGCCTGCAGCTGTAGCTGTGGCTCCTTCTCTTCTAATCTGCACCCAGCACCTCAGGTAGCTAGGGGCCAGCAGTAGCTGACTAAAGTGTGGGATTCCCTGGAAGAACCCTAGGTTGACTGGCAGGAAAAGAATCAAGCCGGGGAGATAACTAGAGCTGGGATCTCTGCCTTCAAGGAGATCGGGGTCTAGTTAAGTCTAGTATATGAGCAGAGCATGGTGGCACAAGCCTGTAATCTTAGCACCCGGGAAGCTGAGACAGGAAGATTGCAAGTTCCAGACCAGCCTGAACTACAAAGCTGGACCCTGTCTGAAAGAAAATCGATAAATCAATAAATATAATATAATATAGCCAGACATGGTGGTGCATTCCTGTAATGCCCGCACTTGGGAAGCTGAGCAGACAGATCGTTGCAAATTTGAGAGCAGCCTGGGCTACAAAGTGAACCCGAGGCCAGTTTGAATTGCATAGTAAGACTGTCTCAAAAAGACCAAAAAAAATTTTTTTTTTCGTATGTGCTTGGTGGGTGGATTTCACAACGGAAAGAAGTAAAGATCTCATGAAGCCCCAGGGAGTTTATTGTATATGGCTTTCAGGAAAGGTAGTGTACTGTGAAGAAGTCACTAGAAAAAGAAAAGGGCTCAGAGCAGCTATGGGTGGTAAACTGAAAGGTATGCATATGGGAAAAACAAATGGCAGATGGGTTACTTCTGTTTGTTTGCTTACTTATTCAGTTGAACTCAGGGCCACATGCGTGTGAGACCAGGCCTACCGCCCTACGCTCCATCTCTGAGGCCCACGAGGGCTTGGACTCGGGCTTCTTCTGCAGATTTGTGTGTCAGTCTCCAGCACAGGGCTGGGAGCCTGCCCACAAGGGAAGTGCATGTCCCTTCACAAAGGGAGATGGGTGCCCGGCTTTTGGCGGGTGGGGAAGACAGAGCGCCCCCTCCCCAGTGCCTGCCATCTCCCCAGGCCTTCCTCTCAAGGCCCTACTCATGCTCCGCTGGTGCTGGAGCAGCCCATTCTCACCCCCTGCATGGACTCACCCTGTTCCACAATCAGACTCCCTGGAAGGCTGAGGCCCTCTGTACAGTTTTTGCTCTCTACGGAAAGGACTTCCCAGCTCTCCACAGTGTCCCCTGATGCCACCTGTCCCCAGCCACTATTGCTCCACCTTCCTGTCATGTCCAGGTTTCTCCTGCCTTGGGATATCACCATCACCCCAGAGTCAGCAGAAGGGAAGGGAAGAGAAGGGAAGGAAGAGGAAAGGTGGAGGAGGCATCCCTTCTTACGTGTGTAAGTGTTTTACATGTGTTATCTCATCTAATTCTTGCAACAGCTCTCTGTGGTAGGTACTATTATTACTTTTTACCTAGGAGGAAACTGAGCAGGTCAAGTAACTCACCCAAAGCCAAACTAAGCTCACCGAGGCGGGGCCTGGATGCCAGCCCAGGCCTTTGGGATTGGAGTTGCATAAACAGTTTGCTGTGAAAGGATCAGTTCATCTTGCTTTGATTTAGTAGATTTTTTTTTCTTTTTTTGTATCAGGAATTAAACTCAGGACCTTGTACTTGCCAGGCCAGTGTTTGTGTCACTGAGCTATACTCCCAGCCCTGTCATTGTAAAATTTCCAATCTAATGTTGTTACAAAAATGTAATAAAAATGAATTACTAGGAAAACAAAAAGGAATAAAGGATACATAAATTATAAGCCCATTCTTATTTTGATTAGGTGCAACTGACATAAAATTTTTGTCATTGCTATAAAAGTCTCTAAACAGGAGGACAGCGTCACAAACTCTAGAAGGGCTCTCTCAGGTGACCCCCACTGAGGGCTGCCCGTGCTCCGAGATGACCTTGTAAGCTTTGCCATCTCCGAGCCTCAGCTCATTCAGTGCACTCAGTGCAGACATGGAGTGGACGAGGCTTGTTTTTCTATTTCCTTTCTATTTCCTTTGCTGTGCCAAGACCTTGTGTGTGCAGGACAAGCACTCTACCACAGAGCTGCCCCTGTCTAAGGATGCTTTCTTTCTTATGCATTGGCATTCTGCAGATCTTTAAAATTAAAAAAAAAAAAAAAGAAATGATACACCTGTATAAATTCTGATATGCAGGACCCGAATGTAGAAGGTATCTGAGTCACAACGTCATGTGGTCTTTGGAGGGTTGCTTGGCCCAGTCTTTTTTTTTTTTTCGGTACCAGGGATCAAACTCACAACTTTGAGCTTACCAGGTACTTATGCCACTGAGCTAAATCCCCAACCCTGCCAGAGTCTTTCTTTTATCTACTCAGATTATTTACTAACACATTACTTTTTCATTTATTTCAGATATATTTATCCAATATTTATCTGCTTAAGCCCTGGCATTCTGGGGAGGAAACAAAGGCAGTGGTACCCAGACTTTGTCTTCAAAGTTCCCATCATGCTGGCCATAGCGGCTCATGCCTGCAATCCCAACACTCGGGAGACTGAGACAGGAGGATTGATGTAAAAGTGAGTTCAAGCAGCCTGAACTGCATAGTGAGACACTGTCTTAATAAGAAAAAAAAAAGCCTGTGCACATCCCTTGGCACCGCATATCTGCCCTTCCGCCCAGGAACTCACTTCCCGGAGGGAACCTGGGGTCAACCCAGGTTTCTGAGGAAAAGTGTTATAGCTTTCAGGGTTCAGACCCCAGAAAGGGCTGAGAGAAGCTCTGCCTATCTTTACTTATTTTTTAATTTATTAATTATTTATTACTTTTATTTTTGTTTGTCTTTTTGAGACCGGGTCTCACTATGGGATTCAGGCTGGTTTTGGGCTCACTTTGTAGCCCAGACTGGTCTCGAACTTGCAGCAGTCTGTCTACCTCAGCCTCCCAAGTGCTGGGATTATAGGAGTGAGCCACCAGGCCCAGCTGCTCTGCCTGTCTTTATGTGTGTCCCTGGCACCAAGTGTCTGACAGCACACTCACTAGCGGGTTATCTGTGACTGTCTCTCCCAGTGGGATTTAATATGTTTTTTCATTCTTCTTTTTATTTTTTGATACTTTTAAATCATACAGTAGCTTTTGAAAAATAGCAGATTTACTAATTCACGCACCATAAAATTCATCCTCCCCTTTATCTGGTACTCAAGATAAATGCAGGTCCTCACACATGCTAGGCAAGCGCTGCACCACAGAGCTATACTCCTGGCCCCAAATTCATCCCTTTAAATTGTACAAGCCAGGTGTGGTGGCACACATCTGTGATGCCAGGGCTTGAGAGACTGAAGCAGATCACGAGAAATTTAAGGCCAATGTGTGCTACATAGTGAGACTGTCTCAACCCCACCCCCAAATTTACAAGAACCTGGTAGGCTTTGAGTTTGGTGTAGAGGCAGGAAAATTCCCCATATGAATGAATAAAGAAATTGTGGTATTTATATAAAATGCAGTATTACTGTCATAAAAATGATAATTTTAGTCATTTGTAGGAAAATGGATGCAATTTGAGGCCATGATATTAAGTAAAATAAAAAGAGTTAAGAGTTAAGAGTGTAAAAAGAGTTAAGACGCATTATTTTATACATGGACCCACTCCCCACAAGGAATGCAAAATCATTATGTACTGCAAACAGGCACTCATGAAAATTTAAAATTGAAAAAAAAAATAAGAAAAGCAGGGAGAATATGTAAATGGTATCACACAGTCCTCAAGCATCTCTGTGGAGCAGTGTCATTGGCGGTTCAGAGGCAGAAAATATCTCAGCCTACCCACCCCCACCGGCCCACCTGGGGAGAGCACCAGATAACAAACCAGGAGGGAGAGATGGGGTGCTCTCTAGTGGATATAAGCTCCGAAGAAAAGGCGTCAGGGTGCAGGCTGAGTGGGAATCAGCGGCAGGGAGATGGCATAAACAGAGATTGACTTGCCTCTGCTGCCTCTGGTGGGGACAGAGGCCTCTAAGGAGTAAGCCTGCTCTGCTGGGAGGCAGCTAGCCAGGGGCCGAGGACCCAGTGGGTCTGGAGGCAGAGCGAGCTGGGGATTGGCAACAAACAGAAAGGACATGTGCGCACGCCAGGGACTCCACTGTGGGGTCAGGCAAGGCTGAGAGGCTAACACAGAGGGACCAGAATGCATAGTATCTTGGGTGCAGGAACAGAGTTGTTGTGTCATTTTAACTGCAGATGGAAAGCCTTGGATAGATGGATGGATTGATTTGGTGGTGGGATTGTGGATTGAACCCCGAGATAGTCTACCATTAAGTGACTTTCCCAGCTCTTTCCTACTTTGTATTCTGAGATAAAGTCTTGCTAATTTGCCCAAGATGATCTCAAACTTGTGATATTTCCAGCTCCCAAGTAGGTGAGATTAAAAGTGGGCAGCACCACACCTGGCATGGAAAGCTGGTTTTTGTTTTTGTTTTTGAGACAGAGTCTCACTATGTAGTTCAGGCTGGACCTCAGATTTGAGGGGATTCTCCTGCCTCAGGTGTGCGTTATATCCCCTGGGAAGCTCTAGTTTTTGATCAGAGAATAAATTAGCTTTGGCCCAGGGTGCGTTGGACTAGGATGGAGCAGTAGAGATGGTGAGGAATGGAATTCGGTTTATGTTTTAACCCTAGAGCCAAAAGCATCTGAATTGAAAATCCATTTTGGTGTCTAATGTTTGCTCCAAGGATAGTAGGGCTAGAGCAGTTAGAACAAAGGAGTGGAGGAAATCAGCCCCTTCCACCCATTTAAATTTAACCAGCAGCCTAGCGCTATTCCTCCTCCCATTAAGAGGCAGAGAACCACATAACAATAACCCTGAGATCTTGACTCCTCAGATCTCCCAGCCTGATCTTTAGTCATCTTTACTCTACTCAATCCTTATTAAGGGCTTGTGAATATGCATTACGTCTCATGCATGTAATTAAAACCACAAGGGGTGCGGGACCTGGTAGTGCACTCTTATAATCCCAGCACTCAGGAGGTTGAGGCAGGAGGATCATTGCGAGTTTGAGACCAGCCTGAGTTTGGACTGCAAAGTGACTCAAGGCCCGCCTAAACTGCATAATGAGACCCTGTCTCAAAAAGACCCCCCTCCAAAAAAAAAAAAAAAAAAAAATCAGAGTAACACCTTGGGGCAGGTGTTTGTTCTAAGAGCCCCTGAAATGACTCAGCACCATGTCAATCATTCCAGTCAGTCACACCTAGAAACTCAGAGGCAGGCACCTGGGTGAGGGGCAGGAGAATCTTGTCAGTTCCCAATGCTGGATACCTCTGGGCAGCTTTGTGCTTTCCTGGCATCGTGACACCACTTTTCTGTGTATGCCATGTTTCTATCAGGACAGACTCGCACGGAGCACATTGTTGCTTGGTCTTAAACAGATGTAGCTGCTTCTCACTTGCCAATGGGTATGCACTTGCAACTCATTGTCCTACAGAGCCTAGAATTTATTTGCTTAATTTGTGATTTGGTACGAAGGCTACAATGAACAGAGACGTTACCAAGCTCTGACTGGAACCGGATGCCATCTCCCTCTCAGCATCATGGAACGAATAACAAATGGGTAGTCATGCAGGGAAGGGAAGTTTATTCTTTGACCAGAGAACAAGGAGAAATGGACACAAAGACTCACAAGTCAGCTTCCAGTCCAAACAACCAGGGTCTCTTTTAAGAGTAAGCGGGAGCTGGGTGCAGCGGTGCACACCTGTAACCCTAGCTCTCAGGAGTTAAGCAGGAGGGTAGAGAGTTCAAGGCCATCCTGAACTACATAATGAAACTGTCTCAAAGAAAAAAAAAAGATTAAGTGCAGGAGAAGACGATTGTTAATGAGTGGGGTATTACTCATGACTTGGAGGGAATGGTGGTCTGCTTGCTTTAAATCTTCTTTTTCTATCTTTTTTGTTTTGTTTTGGTACTGGAAATCAAACTTAGGACCTTATATTTGCCAGGCAGGTGGTGTGTACCACTGAGCTATATCCCTGGATCTTCTTTTTTTTGAACTCATTACGTAGCCTAGGCTGACCTCAAACTTTTGGTGATCCTCCCACCTCAGCTGCCAGGTGCTGGGATGTGCACCATCATGCCCAGCTCTTTAATTATTCTTTGGAGCAATTTCCACCCAGGTGAAAAGCTGGCCAGTCCAGGATAGCACTAGCACATAGGCATTATATTAGGAATCCAGATTCTCTCTCTCTGCCTTTTTGAGACAAGGTTTCACTGGCCTTGAAATCAAACTCAGTGATCCTCTTGCCTCAGCCTCCAGAGCGCTGGGATTACAGGCATGAGCCACCACTTAGGGCTAGATTCTGACGCAATGGTGGTGAATCTGGGATGAACAGCAGGTTTGCATGGTGCTTTGTGGCTGATACCAGTTTTGTCTCATTTCATCTGGCCGGCTCTAAGTGGGTATCTCATCCAAAGCACAACACTGGTTGGCCAAAAGACTTGTTTCTCAGGGCTTCAGAGGGTGTTTGCCTGGTGGCATGGGCGGTAGGAACATCACACTGATGGGTGGTAGATGATCCCTGCTACTGCTATACCATCAGGAATACTTCTCCCAGGGCTGCTGGGGTCACTGAGGGCAAGGGCACTGAGGCTGGACTTTGGTGCACAGGGCAAGCACAGACAAGCCCAAATAGCTAGGTGAGGCACTGTCCAGAGATGCCAGGGGAGGGGAGCGGGCTGCCCCTGATTCTGGTATCTGTGGCAACCAAGGCTGCTGCACACCCTCACGGCCTGCCATGGCCATATTCCTCGGGTGCCCCAGCCACCTGGGAGGTGGGGTGAGGCCCTCCCTGCCCAGGCCTGGGCCTCCTTTGTCACCAAGGGTGCATGGTGTAACCTGAGCTGGCCTTTCTTCTCTGTGAGCGGGTGTGGTCGCCTGGGCCCAGAGCCAGAAAATGAAGCCCAACGTCAGCCCTGTGGCTGTGCAAGGTGCCAGCTCTCTGCAAACAGACTCGAGTCACGAACCCAACAGAATGTTCACCTGGTTGTCATCTCGGCCACAGCGCCATACAGGGTGGAGCTGCTGGCCAAGCAACCAGTCTCGGGGCTGGTCAGGGTTACCCCAGGAAACAGATTCCCCGTGGGCACAGATGGGGGTGATTAGTGGAGATAGCCTGGGGGATGGGGATGCTGTGAGCCTCCCTGGAAACCTGTCCTGGGGAAAGCAAGGTGGGTGGGGAGCTAGAGAAACTGCCTTTTCTTGTTTCTTTCCCCACAGTTTTTTCTTTGGAGAGACAAAGTCTACCCCATGGCCAGGGGTTCATTCCTCCAGGAGGGGCAGGAGGCACAGGAAGAAGAGTATGGGAGGAGCCACATCTTTCCAAGAGGACAGAGGATTCCTAGGATCCCAGGTTCCTGGTCTGCCCCAGTACTCCCCACCCCCCTCCCGCCCAAAGATCACATGGACAAAGGCAACAAGTTCGTGTTAACCCAGTAACCACCTGCGGCACGTGAAGGTATATGTAATGCAGAGCTGAATGGGACATAGAATCTGTCCCCAAGGAGCTGAGAGCCAAAGCCTTGGCCACTTTGTCTGCTTGTGGCTCATGTACCTGTGTCTTCGACTGAAAGTCACAAGAGATTCTGGCATGGGCTCTGCTGTGCACAGGGCACTCAGTAGCATGCTTGGCACTTCAGCATCGCTCCGTGAATCTTTGTTGAAAGTAAAAGTTGTTTTTTTTTAATCGGTACCGGGGGTCGAACTCATGACTGCCTGCTTGCAAGGCAGGCGCTTATGCTGCTGAGCTAAATCCCCAGCCTCAAAAGTAAAAGTTTGAGAAAAGTGTTGCAAGAAAGGTTTCATGTCTTTATTCCTCATCATCAAATTTCAGAGCCTGGAGCATAGTGGTTGCTCCGACAACATCAACTGAAAGAAAAATTTAAAGAATAAACAACAAATGAGTGAGGGAGTGAGTGAATAAATGAAGCTTCTGGGAGCTGCAGGAAGAATAATTAGGTCTTGCTGGAGAAGGGGATGTGAGGACAGAAAAGAAAGACCTGGTACTTGAAAGCTTCCTGCTGGGGGATCTTCCGAAGGACTCTGTGAAGCCCTCTGAGGAGGTGAAAGAGCACCCCGTACAGCAAAATCAATTTTAAAAATATCTACAACGGTGCCTCATGTGTGTCACTCGCCTGTGTTCCTGGCACTCTGGGAAACTGAGATAGAAAGTTGGAAGTCTGAGCCCAGCCTGGGCAATTTAGCAATTTAGGGAGATGTCTCACCAAAAAAAAAAAAAAAAAGATAAAAAGGGGACTGGGGATCTTCAGGTTCATAAGCATGATGATTGGGTGTTCATGCTCTATGCATGACATGTGCCTCCTTTGAATCTTGTTACGACCTCGGCACATTAGCCATCTGACATGAAAAAAAAGGGGGGGGGGACTGGGGGTGCACCTCTGTGAAGGCCCTCGGTTCATCCCCCACTGCTGACCAGCAATGAATCTGACAGCGGAACCCAGTCTTCAGGACCCACTGCAGATCTGACCCTTGTAGTTGGTGGCTTGTGGAATTGTTCTCGCCGAGGTTTGGTGTCACCAGGAAAACCTGGGATCCCTCACACTGTAGCTGACCTTGGTCCTCTGTCTCCACTGCCTTGCCACAAATAATGCTCTTCCCGCTTTCCTGAAGCTGATCAGGCAGCATGCTGTGCATACGCTCATCGCTAGGACGCTCAGAAAGTTAACCTGCCCATAGCCTTTTTCAGAAAGCTACGGCGAGATGTATTCCAGTAAAATGAGGATTGAAGCCATTTTGACTTTGATCATTGGGGTTTTCTCTCTTTTTCTGTCAGCCTGTAGAATGTCTTTACTCTTAGCATCCTGAAAGTTAATGATGCTGTACCTGAGTATATTTCTACTTTCAAACACTGTCCTGGGTGCTTTATGTGCTCTTTCAACTTGGAAGTCAAGGATACATATTTTAGATTTAAGGAAATTTTCTTGAATTCTTTCTTCCTTTTTTTCCCCCGAAACAGGGTCTCACTATGTAGCCCAAGCTGGTCTTGAATTCACAGCAATCCTCCTGCCTCAGTGTCCCTAATGACAGACACACACTGCTGTGGCTCTCGCTCCCTGCTTTTAGTTTGAACGTTACCTCTTCAGAGGATCCCTGACCTATAGTGTAAAAGAGTTCCCAGACCCAAGTTGTAGCTCCTGCTGCCTGGCCCTTATTCCCATGATGCTTTCCAGTGTCAGTGGTAGCCTTGGTCTCCTTGTCTGTTCTGCCCACTGCTTTTATCCTTGGAGCCTAGAAAACCTGGCATATGTATAGCTTTCTTCATTTGTTGATAAAGACAAGATTTTTCAGAAAATACTCTGGAGCAAACGTTTTATCATCAGATTCTGTAGATCTGTGACTGGTTAGAAAAATGTAGTCATTGATGACGCCCATTTAGACTGATAACCAGGGCCCTGTCTTTCAGTTTATCTTGTCCGCAGCCCCAATCCCAGCTCTTTACAAAGATCTGGGCAGTCCAGAGTTTAGCCCTGCAGGTCCCAGGCAGACACTGGTGGCTTCTCATCCTGCACCTATCTCTGGGTTTCTTTATTTTTGTTTTTGTTGTTGTGTTTTATTAGATTTTCCAGGACACTTGCATCAGGAAAAAGAGTTTTAAGTTTCAAGCAAGTATAAAAATCTCTCTCTCTCTCTCTCTCTCTCTCTCTCTCTCTCTCTTTCAAGTTTCTTCTGGTACTGGGTATCCACCTTGGGGCTTCAAATAAGTAGGTAGATGATCTACTGTGGTGCTGCATGCTCAGCCCTGAACTGATTGCTTTAATGCTAGGATGATAAATTCTGTTGTTGTTTTCTTGTGTCTATGGTACTGAGGACTGCCCCAGGCCCTTTGCCCTGATCTATAGCCCCAGCCCTTTTTCTAGTTCCCCGCTGAATTAGGGTCTCTCTAAGTTGCTTAGTTGTCCAGACTGAACTTGAATTTGTGAGCTTTCTGCCTTAGCCTCCCAAAATGCTAGCTCCCAAAATTACAAGTGTGTGCCACCGTGCCTAGCACCAGGCTAAAATTATTGAGGCTACCCATGAACACATAAGGAGAGGCTAATATCATCAGCCATTAAGGAAAGGGAAATCAAAACTACAATGAAATAACACCTCACTTACTAGGGTCACTATAATAGAAAGGTAGCTGGGTATGATGGTGTATTCCCGTAATCTCAGCACTCAGGAGGCTGAAGCAGCAGGATTGCCACAAATTCAAGGCCAGGCTAGGCTACATATTCAAGGCCAGCTTGGGCTACATAGCAAGACCCTATCTCAAAAACAAAGAAACAAAACCCAAAAGTAATATTGGCTAGGAATGGAGCTCAACTATCTAGCACGAGTGAAGCCCTGGGCGTGACCCACAGCAGTGTAAATTATAATAATACTACTAGTAGTAGTAGCTCTAAAATAAATAACACTAGCAATAATAGTGATAAAATGTAAAGGACTGGGGCTGGGGATTTAGCTCAGCGGCATAAGCGCCTGCCTTCAAGCAGGCAGTCGCGAGTTCGATCCCTGGCACTGATAAAAAACAAAAAAAGACAAAAAAGAAAGAAAAAAAAATGTAAAGGGCCATATGTTATATGACCCCATTTTTATGAACTATCCAGAATAGTCAACAGGCACAGGTACAGGGCTGGGGATTTAGCTCAGTGGCATAAGCACCTATCTAGCAAGTACGAGGTTGTGAGTGCAATCCCTAGTACCACACACACACACACACAAAGAGACACAGGTACATTAGTGACTACCTAGGGCTAGGGGTAGGTTGGGGGGGTCAAGATTTGGGGTGACTGCTAAATTTGCATGAGGTTTCATTGTGGGGTGATAAAATGTCTTAAAATAGATTATAGCAATGATTGTATAATTCTGTGAGTATATTGAATTGTGCACTTTAATTAGTTAGATTGTGTTGGATGTGAATTATACCTCAGCACAAGTATTTGAAAAAATAATTATCGATGCGCCTAATGGTACATATCTGTGATTCCAGCCAGCTACTTGGGAGACAGGAGGATCACAAGCCTGTTCAATTTACCAAGGCCCTCTTTCAAATGTTAAAAAAAATTAATTAATTAAGGGACCAGAAAGATAGCTGAGTGGCTCAGTTCCTGAGTTCAATTCCTAGTACCTCCCCCCACAAAATAAAGATAATAAAAAGTAAACTTAAAAACTAAAAGCCGGGCTGGGGATTTAGCTCAGCGGCATATGCACCTGCCTTGCAAGCAGGCAGTCGTGAGTGCGGTCGTGAGTTCAATGCCCGGTACCAAGAAAAAAAAACAAAACTAAAAGCTGAGCGTGGTGGCACACACCTGTAATCCCAGCACTCAGGAGGCTGAGGCAGGAGGATTGTTGAGTTCAAAACCAGCTTGGGCTACAAAGTGAGCTCAAGGCCTGCTTGAACTGCATAGTGAGACCCTGTCTCAAAAAAGACAAAATAAGTAAGTAAATAAGTAAAAAATAAAAAATAGAAATAAAATAGAAGGAAAAAATGGCTCAGGTGTGATAGTGCATGCTGTAATACCAGCATTTGGGAGGCTGAGGCAGGAGAATGGCTCTGAGTTTGAGGACGGCCTGAGTTACATAGTGAATGTTTGTCTCAAAAACAAACAAACAAACAAAAAAGGAAAAATGAAAACAAAACTTTTTTTTTAAGACAAGATCTCACTATGTAGTCCTGGCTGGACTCACAGAATTCCTGTCCTAGCTTCCAGAGTGCTGGGATTACAAGTATGCGTCACCATACCCAGGAAAATGAAGATTTTGTAAATAAGGAGAGGAAAGGGGGTGAAGTGCGGGGAGGGGAATGGGAAAAAAAGAAGCAAGATGTGTCATGTCCTGAGTGAAAGGTCTGTCTGATACTGTACCCCCACCCCCTTCTCCCCCAAATCCATTTTATTTCAAAGAGAAAAAGAAAAAGTAGGACAAAACTAAAAATTTCAAAACACAATTTCAATAAAAAAAAAACATCAATTGAGGGCAACATTGCACATTTTCATCCCCAAATCATTCACTCAGAGCACAAGACATCTGCATTCAGTTGTCTGAACAATACCAGCACAAATCTTTCTCTTCAGTGAACTCAGAGAAATCAGTAGTATAACTATCTTAACTATTTTTAAATATACATGTATATCTGCATATACATGTTGTTTCAGCTTCTCACACTAATGAGACAATATATTTACACATGAGTATATTACTTATGTAACTAATGAATATGGTCTCAAATTGTATCCATTTACCTATAAAAGTTTATCCAGTTTATCCTTCTTTATGGCTAAATGGTACTCCATTGTGATACTGTCCTTTTTTAGGACAAATCATCTACATCAAGTCCAAGGATCACAAGTTCTAGCATACTCTGGGCAACTTAGTGATTTATGGAGAGATCTGGTCTCAAAACAACCTCTAGAAAAAGCTGGGAAAGAGCTCAGTGGTAAGGCCTTGGATTCAGTCCTCAGGACTTAAAAAAAAGGAGAGTGGGCTGGGATTTTAGCTCAGCAGCATAAATGCTGCCTGGCAAGTGCAAGGTTGTGAGTTTGATCCCCAGTACAGAAAAAAAAAAAGGAAAGAAAGAAATGACAGAACCATTTTTTGGGGAATAGTAATCTTAGGTTTTCTTTTTTTTTTTTTTGTCTTTCTCCTTTTTATCGGTACCGGGGATCAAACTCATGACTACCTGCTTACACGGCAGGCGCTTATGCCGCTGAGTTAAATCCCCAGCCTCTAATCTTAGGTTTTCATTACAAAACATGGAACACATAACCCCAAGAGTCCTGGTAGATTCCATGCCCAGCACCTCACTGTTAGTTTCTTTTATTCCTGAAACACTGAGACTCTTATAGCTGCCTTGATAGCCTGAGTCTATTCAAAATGTTTACCTTTCATGGTGATTTTGACTTCGGGAAAGAGCCAGAAGTTGCATGGTGCCAGAACTGGTGAATAAGGCAGATGAGAACAGATGGCACTTGGCAGCAGCACTGGCTGTTTGTGTGTGTGTGTGTGTGTGTGTGTGTGTGTGTGTGTGTGTGTGTATGTGTTTGTTTTTGTTTGTTTTTGGTACAGGGATCAAACTAATAAGCTCATGCTTACTCCACTGAGCTAAGTCCCCGGCCCTGTTTTGTTTTTTTGAGACAAGGTTTTGCTATGCAGTTCAGGTTAGACTTGAACTCACTTTGTAGCCAGGGTTGGCATCCAGCTCACAGCAATCCTCCTGCCTCAGCCTCCTGAATACTGGGATGATAGACATGT